AGACGCCCAGCACCATCTGTCGAAGGAAGCAAAATCGCTGACCGGTTTCAGCAAAAACAAGTGCTGGTTCCAGCAAAAAAATCAATGCAGCCAAAAAAAAAAAAATCCCTGACCCGGTTCCAGCTCGTCTATGTGGTTCAAACTTCTGTGCAGATGCTTCTAGCAAATCTTGAACATGGTTGCAGCTGTACCGTCGGCCGGTTCTAGCTAATCTTGAGCATGATGCCCTGCTCGTCTTGGAGCTTGAACCATGTCGGGAAGGCCGTCACGCACGAGGGCGTCGTCGCCGGCGAAAGCGTCGCAACTGTTGGTCTCGTCCAACCTCTGCTGCCCCGAGGGTCGCCGTAGCAGAAAAGCATCTGAGCAGCAGCAAAAAAAAGTGGTGGCGCACGAGGTGGAGCCAAAATCGCGATTTGCGGCAAACGCCTGGCGGCCATGTTGCTTCCGGCCGGTAGGAAGAAGAGAGCCGCTCGCTGGCTTTCGCGAGGAGAGTGTGTTCTGGGAGATGGAATTGGGGGAAAACGATGGGGTTGAGGCCTTGAGGGGATAAGGTTCCTGTGTGTCGGTGGTCTGGGCCCCGCATAGGATGACATGGCTCTACTAGCGGTGATGGATCTACGCGAATCCTACGACGCGCGAGCGACCGGCGTGTCGCTTCGGCCGGTCCGCCGAGCGGAAACGTTTCCCTATTTTATTTGTCAGCTGAGCGTCCAAAGAAGCAATTCGGATGCCCAGCCTGTCGTCCAAGCATTTTATCTTTATCTTTATCTTTTTATCTTTATTTTTATCTTTACCTTATATACTAATAAATCACCGATCGCTTCTGGTCGTACGTTGCTGCCCTTTTTGCAAAAAAGTCCCTCGGTTTATCAGAAATTAACCCGCAGTCCCTTTGTAATTTGATCTGGGAAAACGCTTCGTTTTTGAAAAAAAAACCCTCTAATCCACCAGACCACTCCGCCGCTCCCTCCTGCCCTCGCTCCCCTCGCAGCCGCAAGCCGCCTCGCCGGCGACCCCGCACCTCCGCGACGCCCCACCGCCAGTGACCTTCCCTGCCGGGCCTCCGGTCGCTCCGCCGCCTCGCCCCTCTCCCTTCTCCTCCTTCTTCTCGATCTCCTCTCACCTCTCTCCCTCTTTCTTGCTGGACAGGGACCTCCATGGCGCCGCCGGCCCTCATTCTCGCCAGACGCGGCCGCCTCCACGCCATATCCGCCGGAAATGGATCCGTCCCGGCCAGATCCGCCCGGATCCGACCGGGCCCCGCCGTCGTCGCCACCAGAGCGCCACCCCGCTCAACCTGCAGCGCCACCTTCCACTGGCAGGCCTTGGAGAACCTCATCTCTCTGATTTCCTCTCAATTTTTGCAGGATGGGCAAGAACCAGATACAGTAATTACATCTAAAGGGATGGATTTAGAGGAAGATGCAGCAAGGTAGAGGTAGTAATCTCAAAAAAATTCTGAAATGCATTAGCGTGAACAGGTGTTCTCCTACTGTCTGGTCGTGTGGATTCTTTTTATCAATTTTGTGGGTATGTGAGTTGGTAAGCCAAGTGTGGCTGCTGCCCACCGATTCCTTCCTACTCCAATTTTTCTCACAAAATGCATTTTGTGGTATGATGCGACTACAACTAAAGGTAAAGCATTTAAGGATCTGGATATTTGAGCAGAGACCTATTACGTGTTGCAGCTAGCTCGAACTACATTTATAATGCACAACTCAAAGGACTGACGCTATTGGTAAGATAAGGTCACATGAGTCCCAATTAAATGGGAAGCAAAGGGTGAAAAATGGGGCCCTAAAATCACTATTTATTCTATCCTCTGTGTCTTAGCAAACCAGTTCATGTGGAGACGAACATGCTTCCTCTGTGAAAAATCAATACATTATTATTGTTACTTATCATTGCCTTGGACATAAAATTCAAACATGAGGACTTGGTTTCTTTCTTTTCTACAGTATCTAGATGCATGCTTTGTCCGTTGCTTTTTAGTTAAATGTTATTTTGTTTAGACTATTTTCATCACTAAAGTGGTTGAACTGTAAGTTCAGAATTGGCAGTAAATAGTGTAGTATCTTGACGCATGCCTTTTCTACACAGGCTTTGCAGTAAATCGTGTATTTTCCCCTTACACACAAGGTGCCCAGCTTCTAATCAGTCGTGGCATTGATCTTTTCAGAATTGATCGAGTAAAAAAGCAACTTCGGCATGCCAATGGGACCTTTTCAGTAAGTGCTTTGACTCTGTTTTTTCATGGCCATGTGTGGAATAATTGCCAATGGTATCAAAATTAAGCTCCTCCTGTGAATGAACAAGCAAATGTTCTTCAACTATAGGAATATTTTTTCTATTTCTTGATGAAAATGTTCCAGTATCATGTACTGTCCGCGTTCACTTAATCATCCGTGTTCTGCTCCCGCTGCCGGTTGTGTGTGTGTGGCGTGGGTGGCATCTACTTTGCCATTATAGGAAGTAAAGCTATGAGCGGTTTTCTTCTTTTATTAACGGCCAATTGTTTTATTACTTTGTGCAAGGAATCCAATTTCTTAGCGGTTTTATATTATTGAATGCAGACTTGCAGTTTAACTTTTTAGCAAGCTTTTGTTCTACGTCAATCTAGCATGGTTATATGTTGTTGAATGTTGACTTCATTACGAGTTTCTGACTATCTACTTGTTCATGTTTATACGGATGAGGTGCTGTCAGGGGTGGCTGAGACCATCAAGAACTTTGTCCTGATCTACCATGTTGACATCACCAAGGTTCCTGACTTCAACACCATGTACGAGCTGTACGACCCGTCAACGGTGATGTTCTTCTTCCGCAACAAGCACATCATGATTGATCTTGGGACAAGAAACAACAACAAGATCAACTGGGCAATGAAAGACAAGGAAGAGTTTGTTGACATCGTGGAGACTGTCTATAGAGGAGCTCGTAAGGCCGTCGTCTGGTGATTGCTCCCAGGGATTACTCCACCAAATACAGGTACTGAGGTATCTGTGCCTGTCTCTTCATGTGGTTTCAAGGATCCCAAATATTCCAAAGGATGAGCATAGTCATGAAACGCTTCCAATCGATGATTTCCTGGCAGTTTGGAGTATTCCAGTAGCACACCAAACAACTTTTGCTGCAGGACACTGAAGTAATAGATGAGAGCAAGTTTCTGTGGCTTAGAGACACATGGGGCAGATGTCTGAATCAAGTATGGTCTTGTGTAAATTTTGACATGTGTTCAGTCTTCCGTTATGCAGTAGCCATACAAAAAAAACATTGTTGGCCACCCTTGATGACTAAAACAGAGAGAGTGGGATCATCAATTCCTTGGTATCTCTATCCTCAACCAAACTACGGACCATCCAACCTTCGGTCAGGTTCACTATTCTTCAATCTTAGTGCTGCATATTCCTATTTGAATGATACTTGGTGCATAAAATTAGTGATTCGGAAAATTCTTTTTTTTCTTTGTTACGAACAAATCTGCAACTCTGTATCCTATTTCTTGCCACTGTTTTGTGTTATTTTGCTCACACAGAATGGCCATGTTTATCTTAAATTTCCTTCTCAATTGCCTTTAAATTAATAAATCAGGGTAACAAATAGAATGTGTCTGTTCCATTACCCACAACTGTACCATTATCTACTATTGAATAGTTGGATCAATAAACTTGTCGTAATCTTTTGTTGTAGAAGAGCAATGTTCTACCTGCTTATAATTATATGTCATCCTGAGTTGTTATTTGTAAGATGATGATGATTGATAAGAATCTCATCGATAAGTTTTGCCCCGAATTTTTTCTCATTGAGTTTTGGTACATTTGGTATTGTTTGATATGCTATCTAATATATAGTGTGTGCTCCCACTTCAGTTGATTAATTTCAGAGAAGATGCAAAACAGATAACATGGATGAGCTTGCATACTTGCCGGTAGTGTAGCTTTCTGCTGAACCATATATTCTGCCAGGAGAAGTTTCAGTGACCAATGGAAGCTTTGATGTATTTTTTTCAAGCAAAAGTAATCGTCTATTATCCATGTCAGGTTTCGACTCAAATTGTGGTGCTTCTGTTCTATGCAATTTTATTTTCTTACTGATGCCATGTTCTGGCATTCCTTATCTTTTATGCCTGATGTGAGTCTTAGTGCTAATAAGAACTATCTTTTCCCAATGGTAAATCTACCTTTTCCCCATCATGTGACTTAAAGCTAATCTATTCATGGTTAGTTGTCCTTCCTGTACAAAGGTCATCTGTTTCGATTCAGTTCTCTTCGCTTTCTTTTACTGTAACATAGACCATGCTCACATGGTCGCAAATTGTAAACAGAGATGGAAACGTGCATACAGATCTCTGGAGCATGCAATATTTTTCCAGGGTGACAATTTTTTACATGGCTTTATATCTGAAGACACCTTTTGGTTGGCTCTATTTGTTGTATATAAGTTATATCTGAATATACCTTTGGATGCTTATACCATAAATGATGGCCCTGGATAAGTTATATCTGAAGATACCTTTGGTGACCCCTTTTTATGTTCATTGGTGAATAATAGCGGAAAAAAACTCGAATGAAACCATGCGACGACATAAGAGGAACACTACTTGGGGAAGTAAAATGTTATAGTGGTCGCTTTGTTGAGAGGTGAGCAAATACATGAAGCCAACAGAGCGACTGGGTGGGTGGATCATGACTAGCTCTGATTTACTTCGATGTCTCAGTGCTCAATTTATCTTTCCTGTACGATTATTTGTCATGCTCTTGCAATTTTCACACTTTATGTGAGAGAAGATCCCACAAGAATTATCATTGTTTGTGTTTAAGAGAGCCATAAGGTTTATCCATTTCATAGTGAGTCATTGAGTTACGTATTTGCTATAGACTAGATGACTAGATCCCAGTCAAGTTTCTTCAGCAAGGCAGCACAAGGGGACTGCATGGAGCAACAACACCAGAATTTGTTTATGCATTTGCTTTAGCCAACATATCTGAATCCCGGGCGACTTTTCAAACATGCAAATTATGTTACGGTTCATGTTAACAAGGGATAATGAGATGGGGAACGCGAAGAGAGACCGTGTGTGCAGTTCATCTCACAATGAGATTATCTTCTTTTTCTGAGAGCGTGCGTGTTTTTTTCGAGGGAACTGAGAGCGTGCGTGTTTGTGTAGGCAAGTTGTTATGTTCGGTCCAAGCCCAAATAGTGCAAAAAACAATTACAAATAAAATATAAATTTCAAAAAGACAAAACATTCTTTAAGAAACATCTATTAAAAAATTTGTTTTTAGAGAAATGTTCCAATTTACTAAAAACGTTAACTATTCTTAAAAATTGTTTCGATTTTTATGTAAACGTTAACTTTTATTAAAAATAAGAAAATTTCCACATTTAACCTTATTATCGACATTTATTAAAATCGGATATAAAAAAATGATGCACAGTGGCACATGAAGCAGATTTTTTAAGGCTAACCACACGCTTTATTAATTTCTCAATAATATTGTGAGGGATATACGATTTTTAGCACATGAAGCAGGTCGTGTCTCTTTTTTCTTGCCCGGTGCAACGCACGGGCATTTGTACTAATTACTTATAAAGGATGCTGAGGTGGTAGGCAGCCACGTTCGCTCCATACAGCCGTTATGAATAGTGCAACCAGCGCATTACTATCAGCAGTGCAGCAAGCGAGCCGCGCGAGTAAAAAAAGAGAGGGTTTCTAGGCACTTCCTTTCGCAAGGGGAGCGAGCGGGCAGCGGGGAAAAAGGCTCGCTTCCTCCTCTCCTCGCTCGAACCCTAGCTGCATCCATGCTCGCTTCATCCTCTCCATCCTCGGCGGCACTCAATTCTATTTGCGGGAGAGAGAGAAGATGAGAGGGAGAAAAAGGAAAGAGAGGAGGGAGAAAGAGAGAGGAAAGAGGAGAGGGAGGCGCCACGTCGGTTGGGAGTGGGTCACAGCCGGCGTCGGCCTGCTACGGCGAGGTCATGCGTGAACTGGCGGTTGGTGTCGGCTTGATCTGTTGAGTAAATAGGCAATTTTTTGATTAATTTAATCCGTAAGTAGATGACTAGCATGGCATTGACAGAATTAGCGACATACTGATATTGATCTAAATGAGCACGTACTACGCAAAAAATAGACAGATCTACACATAATGCTAGTACTGCTAATACGGAAAAAAAATCAGGAGAGGGATAAACGCGTTATACCCTCCTGTAGGCCATGCAGAAGCTGCCGCGGCGGTGGCGGCAGCAGTGGTGTCCTCGGCGGCCTTCTTGTCGGCCTCAAGCTTCTCGGCGCCGAGACGGTCGGCGTCGGACTGAGAGATGGTGATTATGAAGGCGACGGACACAGAGGAAGTAGCGGATCGGAGGCGAGCAGTCGCGTGGTCGCTTCCCAAAAACCTATTCGCCCCTCTCCCGTACAGGAACCAGAGGGGTGGGGCTTCGGAGACCTACTCTCCCGTCGACCGTGTACGCGATGGACGGGATGGAGTCACCGGCAGCAGCAGCAGCAAAAGATCGACGGTGGGTAGTGCACGTGGAGCAGATGTGGTCTGTTCGTGGCGGCTAGGGTTAGGAGACACCTCGCACTTATATAGGTGAAACCGCATGGAAAGACGTGGGCTCGACCCATGTTCGAGTCCGTGACAGCCCACGATCCGACATCTTAGATCGTGGCCTAGCTGTCAGAGAACTCTCCATTACTGGCTGGCAAAAATAAGCGCGTAGGTGTGAGCTCGGCTCGGCTCATTCCTGCAACCCGCGTCACATCATGACGAGGCGTGCCGAGGCGGGTGGCGAAGGAGGAGTGCGCGAGGGCCTCTTCTCTTCTCAAGCTCCAATAGCATGTAGAAGAGAAACCCTTATAAAGAGGTTTAACTCCTTCTCCACTAGCGGGGTGGGAGTAAACTTCCCACTACACCTAGTGCCATATAACCCACATGGGCCCTTAGAGATTTTCAGAAATTGCTAGATGGGCCTAAAGCCCATACCACATTTCAGCAATCCCCCACCAGATCTTGAGGGGCCATTGTGCCGTTTGTTCCAATTGTTGTTTCGATATACCAGTGTTTCAGTGAAGACCTGTTAAGGTTGAACTTCACCTAGAGCAAGTAGCTACACTCCTTCATAACTGAACAATGGGCTAAGCCTTGAATTGTCAGTTTGGCATGAAGAAGCTTCGCCACATGTCTTAATAGCACTAGGCTGCCAAAGGCTGACCCCTCGGGTGGAGCATATAAGTCACACTCCTGGCCTATTTATGAGCTTACCAAAGATCACCCCAATCTCATAGACTGTGTGACCAGCAATCAGGCTCATATAGGTGTGTTCCTCCAAAGATCGCTCTGTAGGATAGCATCTTGCATACATAAGCTTTGGAACACATTAAGACAATAGTCACCATACCATACATTATTGAGAGTATTGCATCTCCAACGGAGTGTGTTGGTATAGTTACTCTCCTCAGTTCACCACTAGCTTGTTTTCCCAGGTCCTACTTCACAGGATTTCTGATCACATAGGTTTAGTTACCACCATGGCAACTCATTTGGCTCTCATACCCATCTCCCTCGATGCACTATCTATCACAATACGTGATAGCCCTTTTGTAAAGGGGTCTGCCAGATTCTTAGCCGTACGGACATACTCCAACGCTATCACTCCGGAGTTTCTTAATTTTCTGACAGCTTTTAATCTCATTCTTATGTGTTTGTTGGACTTCATGTTGTCCTTTGAACTCTTCACCTTGGTGATGACAGTCTGATTGTCACAGTTCATAAGGATAGCCAGAACTGGTTTATCAACCAATGGCAAGTCCATCAAAAGATCTCGAAGTCATCCTGCTTTGACACCAGATATGTCTAATGTTGTTAATTCTGCTTCATTGTCGATCTCGTTAAGATCGTTTGCTTGCAAAACTTCCAGGAAACAGCGCCACCTCCAAGAGTAAACATATACC